AAATTAATTTCTGGGTTTGTCGAACGGTTAGTCGATAGCTCAGGGCTAGGTGGTAGATGGCACGCGTAGTAAAAGGAAAAGTATTACCTCAAGCTCACATGACAAACAAATGGTTAAGTAGCACGGTTCTTTGTCCAAGGTATTAGTAACGGACGTATGTACCGCTTATAAATACATAATTTGTGCTTTAAATATCATATGGATATGGTCTCAGTAATGAATAGTAGTTGCTTGCGGGATTTTAGTGTGAAAATTTCAGGTAGTCAGGTGGTCAAAATCCAAGAGGCGTCACATAATACAGCTGTATGAGGATCTCATCTTTTCTTTGTTGAACCAGGTTTGGATGTGTCTGCGAAATACACCAAGCTAGGCACTCCATAGTGCGACACTGTAAACCGATATGTTTATGGTGAAATTGGAACGCATCCAACCCAGCTTGTATATCAATGAGACTGAAATGCATATACGCTATGTTGCTGGTACTTTGGTACTCTACATATTAGAGCAGCAAATAGCACAGTTACTGAAGGCTTTTAATTGCGCGCATGAGTACGAAAACCGAATACACTTTCCGGATATGGATATTACCGTAACTCTGACGGACGTCTCAGCAGAAAGGTGTAAAGTAAGCATACATGGTCTGGGCAGTACATAAGCGTCGACAGTGTAGTGCTGCTAGAGTACAAAAGAAGTTTAGTCAGATATTTAACCTTCATTGAGTACAATATTTGTAAACTAAATACCGTGAAAGAAGAGTTGTAGGGAATCAGTGTCTTTGCACAAAAGTAGCTCTCCAGAAAAGATTATCTCGCAGCATCTGACGGAACACGCGCAGAAGTCGAACGTGAGATCAGGCTGTTGAACTTGCTGGTCCAGATAGAATTCCCCCAGCTCTCTACAAATTCGGGTGACCTAGTCTTGTGGAGGATTTACAAAAGTTGCTAATGGAACTTTTGGAGCAGGAAGCTGTCCCAGCAGACTGGAGCCGACGCGTCATAGTCCCAATTTTTAAGGGAAACTCCAGTACGAAATGCGGCAATCATAGAGGGATCAGTTTGATCTCAACTGCCTCTAAATTGCTTGCCTCTGTCGTTCGCCAAAGACCGGCTGGCGCTCGTAAAGGCCAGATCCGCAAACAACAAGCCGGGTTTCGTCGAAATCGAGGCTGGATTGCCCGTATCTTCACTTGCGTCAAGTGTTGGAGCCCCGCCATGTTTATCGGCAACCCACCATTTTCGTGTTTCTCGACAGCAAACGTACCTTCGATGCGGTGGATCGATGTGTAGTTTTTGAGCTGTCTGCTGAGGACAAGTGTGCCCGAGAAATATGTAAACATTATCAAAGCCCTGTAGGCGCATAGGTCGAGCAGAGTATGGGTTTATGACAAACTGTCACCGCCCTTCAATATCTCCAGCGGTGCGACACAAGGTATCCCGCGGTCACCTTTCCTCTTTAACTTCGCTATTGCTGAAGACATGAAAAAAGCGTTTGCTGGACAGGACCCAGGTGTGGTGTTATTAATTAGTGAGTGACTTCTTGGCTTAGAGTATGCGGACGACATTGCCCCCATAGGTGACAGCTCGCAAACACGCCAGGCTACACTGGACTGATTGGCACTGGCTATCAATCATTTAGAGCTATGATTCGCTCCATCGAAATTCAGATATTTTTCTAAAATTGACAGGGACCCACCCCTGCGCTGACCCTTGGTGGTGATCAGCTAGAAGTCGTTCAGAAATTCAGGTACCTGGGCAGCTATATTAGCGCCCGTGGAACAGAAGCTGAGATTACGAATGTATAGGAAAATCTGAAGGTGCTTTTACCAATTGCTGCCACCTGTGGCGCAGACGCGACATTAATCTCTCCCTGAAGGGCAGAGTGTATTATGCAGCCGTCCAATCAACTCTTCTACGATTGTAAAACCTGGCCTATCAGGTCGACAGAAATAAAAAGGGCTCCTCACATTCGATCGTCGCTGCTTTCGCAGCTAGGCTCATGTCTGGTGGGAGCAACGCATGTGAAATGATCGTGTTCGGCGTCACCTATTTGGTGTGGGAAGACCGAGTGAAAAGCTCAGCACCATTATATCACGCACCAAACCCTGATGGATAGACAACGTGTTGCGTATGTCAGCACACCGACTCCAGCGACGTGCGTTGTTTGCAAGGCGGGGTGCGGTGGAAAGAGGAGGTGGGTAAGTCAAGCGATGACGTAGTCGAGAAACTTAAAAACCCTCACTTCGGAGTTAACGTCGGATAGTGTTTCCTGGCTGCCTGGCTGGGGTCCAAAGGACGATGAGGACATTTGGTCAGCCACACGTTCTGATATGGATAGAAGCAGGCCCCAGTATCTTTTGCGTTGTTAGTTCCTTTGTCCATCCCCCTCCCGCCCAGCCTCCCCACCAACCATGCTCACATCCGTTAGGCATAATATAATCCCCTTTTCGAGGCACGGTAGGCGGCTGTTAGCTCACCGGAACGATGCCCATTTGCTACTGGGGACTCAGCCGGTGTACCTCTGTTGTATTTTCTTCCTGCTTTTTACTGCGGCATAATAGCTGAGGTGTACTCTACATGCAGCTGACGTCTTTAATGATTACGACGATGTTAAGATTATTGTTCCTAAAACATTCTTGTCATTTGAAGTTGGTTCTGTTAATGATATAATATCCCGACGCTTGAAAGAGGCTGATAAGAAGAGTAATTTTAAGGCCCGATTAAAAATTAATTACTATAACAAGCAATTGCTTGCGAAACCCTTAACGTATGAGCTGCTCTCCTTAACAATTTCAATGTTCATTTATTAGTCCTCGTCTACCGATGATGCACGATATGTGGTTTCGCAATGCAAGGCGCCTACCTTTGAGGATTAGAAAGCACATCCTGACATGGTTCAACAAAGAAGAGATGAGACTCTCAAACAACTATATATATCACCTCATTGGTTTTGAGCATACAGCTACTAAGAGTGACTACAGCGGCATATACTCACTATCTAAAAGTTTCACATTAGCCATCCGCAACAGCTCTCATTTATTGCTAAAGATATATACACACACCTTTAAAAGCCCAAACCATGTGTCCACTGAGCTTCTAGGTAATACTTTTTCGTTTGATGCTTACCATCTACAACTTAGCCCTGAGATTAGACTGACTGATTGACCAACTAAAAGCTCAAATGTTTTCTTGCTTTGACGCTTCCAGTACTCGATTTCTACCATGTAAACAATTATATCCGAAAAAGGTTACTAAATATAATTCTTATCCCAACGCAAATCTGGTTTCATTTCATTACTAAAATGGAAATAGTTAATTTGTCTGCCTACGGTAGTCTTGTTTCACCACGCCAAAAGTGATTCCATTTCGTTTGACTGATGTGTCCTTTGAGGCTGTGTAGCTAAGAAGATGTGCCAGAGAAAGGTGTGAATATTATCCGATCGCTATACTCGCGAAGCTAGAGCACAGTAAGAGTTTCCGGCAAGGTTTTGCAACCATTCACTATTTACAGCAGCGTAATGCGGAAATGACTGCTGTCCACTTAATTCTTCGACTTGGCGATTGGCGAAGTCATAGAAATCGCGATTACTAGACTTGGCTAAGTAGGTATAGAGCTGCTCCCAGTTGAACGACTTCTTGACGGATTATATTGGCGCCAGCTCACAAACCTGCTAAGCTGCACTGGATAAATTGGCCCTAGCTTTGAGTCTTCTCGAGATTTGCATTGCGCTATTAAAGTGCAAACATTTCCTTCAAGATTGGCAGGCATGGCTTCCCGCGCTGACACTTAGTGGGGATAAGTTAAATGTCATTTAGAAATTTATCAACTTAGGCAGGTGTGTCAGCGTCGGTGAAATTGAAGACTACGTCACAAACCGTACAGCAAAAGTACGAGACACTTCTATTAACCATTATCGTCTTTGACGTCGACCCAATATTACTCTCTCCCAGAAAGATCAGCATGCATAAAGAGGCTAGTTACGCTGGACCGATGGTTCCTTCACAGTTGGGCTCATATGTTGTTGGAGCACCGCATGAGCAACGAGCGTGCTCGTGGCCTTGTTAATGGCACAATAAAAAGGACTAAACTGCTCAGCATGGTTATTTTACCCAACAAGCTCCGATGACCGGACCAAGTGTTGCCAGCCCGCTGATTCCTGCGGCATGCGTTGTTTGCGTGCTGGAGAGAGGAGGAGAAGCGATAACAGCCAAGAGTAATGAAAGACCGCAGTTCCAATGCAGCCTTGGTTGCAGCCTCTAGACTCCCTGGTTGAGGTCCGAAAGACAAAGGCACGTTTAGTTAGATATACTTGTTGACATGGCTTGGAGCCAACGTCTGGCGTTTGCGCTGTAACTTTCCTTGTCCCCCAATGTGTTCAGCCTCCACCACCATACAACTTCTCATTCCTAAGGCACAATATTAATATTTTTAACGGTAAAATAACCGGTGGCAGCTCTCTAGAACGATGTCAGTCCGTTACTGGAATGTATTTGGCATGCACTTGCTGCAAATTGTTATAAAGGTACATATGTTCATGTGCATTGTAGCACAAGTGATTAAGTGTTTTCGTAGTCTGGCTAACGAGTATGTATGCATGTAATCTCAACAGTCTAGCAACTAGACATAGAGCCAACGGCTAACGTGTATAATGATGACAATGCTGTGCTAAAGATCAGCATTAATTGCGAGCCGCTAAAGCGAAAGGTCTCGGAAATATGTTCTACTGGACTTCCGGTGAGTGAAATGGACTCTGTGTAAAAGAAGTTAATTACTGCAGCGACCCGATGACGAGTACAGCAACATAATTCGTTAGAAACCACTATTTATTATTTCTTGAGTATGTGGTTTAACCTTTAAGATTTTGGGAACGTGGAAACACCTGCTTGATAAAAAAGGATTTGAAAGCATCATGGTATTTGTAAAGCATAAGTTAAGCCTTTATTTAAAGAAGATGAATGAGTAGACTCACAGAATAAGTCATAATGGATTTTGTTGTAACCTACCAGAAGCTTCCGGAGAAAAGCGATCAAGAATATAATTAACTGCTATCCATCCGTAAAGAGCCTCTTGAGCCCCAGTAATTGTCGCGGCGTTTTCATCATGAAAATTAAAATCATATCTTGACCTGATAAAAGTTCGAACTGTAGACCAAATAGTTTCTTGTTCTCTGAAAATGCACGTTAATTGTTTCAATTATGACGTACGCCACAGTCAATAGCCTCATCCCTGCAGTTGCTAATATATAAAGTGGAGTATCTTTATGGGACGTCGGTGGAATTTCAGAAGCAGCCAAATCCAGTAAGTTCTTGAGATATTCAGAAAGCTCATTTAATTTGTTCACGAAGCTGGATATTCCGGGGTTTATTCGTTTTACTACAGGCTGTCCAGTTTTATCTAGCAACAGCTGCAGATTGGGTAGCTCGTCCCGCTCTGTTTTCGTCATCCAGTAGTATACGAACATTCGTGAACCGCTACTTCCTATTAAACTAGTTTTGTATGCAGAACACCAACCCGCATCGACAATAACCGCATATCTTCTTTTGTGCTCTCCTGTAGTTATTGGCAAAGAGAACACTTCAATCCATAGGCATAGAAGTAGAATAAATCCGGCAAGTGTGATATGTTTGAAAAGTAAAAACATCAAACCCAAAGCTAGTTTCTGTACAATTATGTTCGTAGCCAGTTTCTAAATGGTTGTCCATTTTATACCGTTTAGCAGTTTCCTTTGCTGCTCGTGATTGGTAGAAGAGGGGCGGAGCGCGGAATCGACGTTTATTTTCATAATACCTGTCCTTTCAAGGACAATGTTCAGCCCAGATAACAATGTAAAGGCATGAATGATTTTACGAAGCTGAATAATCTTATTCAGTAGCAAAGTGAAGTTCATAAGATTTGTTAAATCTACCCTAATCTGCTTGGAAAATTTTGATCGATACGTGTGAATAAACATTGAAAACTTAGGCAGTACTGTGATGACCCGGAGCTTTCCCCGCTTGTTGTGCAAATAAACCTTGGATATTATGAACTCATAGTTTGATTATGTATTAGGAAAGTAGGTGGTTTGCACCTTCGAATAGCGCATGTGTCTGTGTGAGTCACACCAACCACACCCTGACTTTTGCCGCGGACCTCGAAAACGAGCGTTGGCGGTCCATTCTACTCAGCACCTTACAACATCATTCTATATAAATACCCCGGTGTCTAACCTTTAACCCTAAAACGTAGCAGCCTTCCAACAAGCATTATCTAGTTTATTTCTCTGTGTTCTGCCGCACGCATTTGGTTGGAACATTGGAACATTGTATTTATAGAGAATAAAAGCTCGAGCTTTACATGACCCATAGGGAAAAAAGATGTCGGGTCGGGTCTAATGAAAGGCTAAGCAACCTTATAGCTGGTTGGACTCGCGTGTTAGCCGTATCTTCATCGGGCTTATGCGGCATTTAAACAGAATTCACGCCGGCTCAAAGCGTGACATCCCACTACCAACTCCGTAACGGCTTTGGAAAGGAAGTAGGTGGAAGAAAAAAGGAGTGAAGTTCCATAAAGTAGAAGGTAGTTATATCAAGGAATATCGCGGTGTAACTCAGCCAGATGACAGTCCAGGCGGGTCTTAAATTCCGCCACTGTGGGTGCCAAGACTAAATCAGCAGGCAGAGCATTCTACGGTCGGCAGATTCACAAGGCGAAGTAGTGTCGTCTGCACAGTCGTCTGCCGACTGTGTTGATGTGTGAGCCTCAGTGGGTGGCCACGTAGGTGGGATCCCAATTGGTGAAGTGTGATGAGGTGGCGACAGGAAGGTCCGGGTTTGGAAAAGATCATGAATACAAGGATCATGTCACCCCGTAGACGTCGGTACTTAAGCAAGTATAGGCCCAGGCACTGAAGTCGTTGAGGATAAGCTAGGTTCTTTAGACGTCGGACCAGTTTGGCTGCTCAAAATTGTGGGGCTTCGAGTATGCGTTGGTCCTTCAACAACCAAGGGCTCCAAGCCTGAATAGCGAACTCCAAGTGGGGTCGAAGAAAAGCGTTGAGGAGGCGGCGGAAATTGCTGGGGTCAATTTGACCGAAGGCTCGTTTCAGCAACCCCCCCATGCGGTTGACTGCAGCAGCTGCTTTCCGGCAGGAAGCGGATACATAAAGATTAGTCTGGGTAACGAAACCCAAGTCTATTTCGGCTGAAGATATCTGGAGGATAGTCGCTCCCAGGTAATATACAGGAGAAAAAGCGGAAGGGCGGGTAGAAAGGACGCGACATTTCGAAGCGTTAAATGGAAGGTTGGTTTCTATGGACCACTGATGTAGACGGTCGAGGTCCGTCTGAAGTGCGTGGGCATCGCTTGGAAGGTTAATTGTGCGCCACAGCTTCGCGTCATCCGCGTATAGCGGCAACGAAGGCTCCACTGGCGGTGTGACGTCATCAATGAGGGCTAGGAAGAGGTGCGGTCCGAGAACAGACCCCTGTGAAACTCCGCTGGTGCCAAGGATGCGGGGAGACAACGCGCCGTCGACGCGTACTTGGAAGGTACGGTTTTGAAGGTAGCTCCGGATCCAGTCTATCAAGGCCCCTGAAACGCCGTAAGACAACTGTTTCTGCAGTAGAATCTTGCGGTCGACCTTGTCGAAGGCTTTGGCGTAATCCAGGAATATAGCATGAGTTTCTAGACCAGAGTCGGCAGTAGTCCTCCAGCTATCCCTGGCAAGTAGCAGATTACTCAGGCATGAACGTTGACGCTGGAAACCGTGCAGGCAATCAGAGAGCAGTTTCAGGGCTTCCATGTAGTCCATTAAAGCGTCTACGACAATCGATTCCATCACTTTGGAGATCGTAGAGAGGAGAATTATCGGTTGGTAATTGGCCGGATCTTTGCGAGCACCGCCGTTGTAGATTGGTGTAGTAGTTCCACATTTCCAATCATTGGGAACTTTGCCTTGCGAGAGTAATTGGTTGAACAGCTCCGCTAGCGGTAAAGCTAGATCTGCAACACATGCTCGCGAGAGTCTTGGATGGAAACCATCAGCGCCAGTAGAGGCCGTTAGCCGCAGGGATTTGAGTTTCGCCGTGACCTTCTCCGAAGTGATATGTACAGTCGTCAGGGGAGTTGAGAGTGATACCGAAGAACGTACCGTCGTTGTATGCATTGCTGGAACGGAGAATGTGGATGCGTACTGCTGGCACAGGGCATCTACTGCCTCGTTAGCTGATTTCGTGAGCCCTGTGGGGGTCGTCACTGTGCTTGACTTGTCGAAGACTGTTGACGTGACTATACAAGGCTCTGGGATGGGATGAAAATTTACACATAAGCTGAGGCTGATGCTCACTCTTATATTCTCGTACAAGATGAGCGCATTGGTTACGGATGGATCGGTAATATTCCCAGTGCTTGGCCATTGGATGGGAGCGATACTTTCTCCATGCCGTGTTCTTGGAGGCAATCCACCTCCGTGTACGACTTCGGATGAGTGCTGGGCGTCTTTTCCCTATGGAAACTTGTTTACAGATCGTCCTAGTGGAGCAGAGTTCAGGTAGGGTAAGTCAAAAGCTTGACCACAAGCTGTCGGCACTCGATTAGGGCTCGGGTGACCAGTTGTTAGCGGAAATGGGAAGATTCAACTTTCTGTAATCAAGTGAAAAATATCCCAGGCGTGGACATCAGAACAACAAAGCGAACAAGCTCGCTTTCGGTGGCTCTCGTCAGGCTAAAACACCACAACTAATAGGAATAAGCTTAACATAAGACAGCAATTTGAACTTTGAACTTTACCATTATCCGCTGTGTTATGTTAATCTTATTCCTATCAGTTGTGGTGTTTTAGCCTGACGAGAGCCACCGAAAACGAGCTTGTTCGCTAACTTGTTGTTCTGAGTTCCGTAATCAGTCCAGCGTTTGGTATAAGTTGGCGTGCTGACGAGTTTTTTCGGCGAAGCATATAAAATCGAAACCGAGGACGCAGTTGTCGTTAAGCCCCAAAGGGGCATCATACGCAACGTGCTCAACCATCAGTTCTTCGTTAGTGAGGATTAGATGTAGCAGGGATGGTTGGTTGTTGGAGTGGAAGCTGGTCGGCTGCTACGGGGCCGTGTGAAGAAGATCAATTAGGCATGATGCAAAGGAATTAGTAGACGGGACAGAGTAAAATAGACGGGGCAGGTTGAAATCACCCATGCCAAGAAAGTGTGTGCGCTTGTGGGATAACATAAGGTAGACGTCATGCAGTAGTCGTGCGTCCTTCTCGGGGGAGTTGTTTGAGGGACGGTAAATGATACCAAGACAGCTGGAGTGTTTGGCGGTTAGTTCGACCGCGCGCCACTTGGTGTCTGGAGACTGGAGGGCAGTATTCGTTAACATGCTGCAAATGAGGGTGATGTCATAGTACAGTGCGACACCACCACCTGGGCTTGCGCTGCCAGAACGGAGAACTGACATGTGAGGAAGTTGGATTTCACCGTCGGTTATGTCGTCAGAGAGCCACGTTTCCGCTATGGCTATTAGGTCCGCTGGTGTTGACAAAAGTCGGGATTGGATCTCCGGAAGTTGGGACGTGATGCCCTGTGCTTTCGCGTAGATACAGGTGAGGCCCGTTTGAGTGAGGAGCGCGGGAGTAACTAGGGTGCTGCCGGTCAGCAGATGACCGGCGGCTCAGTCTTTGAAAGACTAAAGGTTGGAATGTGTAGGTGAGTAGCTTACTCCAGGCAGTGAGGCAGCTGGTTCGGTGATGGACGGTCTGAGGACGATTTGGTCAGATTGTGTCGGCACCGAGTTGGCTGCTGTTATAGGTCTGTGGGAAGCTGTGCGCTTGGGCACCGGGTGCACATCTGGACGCAGGCGGATATCTGATGGTGCTCGTCTTTTATTAGCATACCAGATGGTGAGTGCATCGGTTACCACGCTAGCGGTGAGGAATGTTACTTTCAGGAGATGGGGGCTGTTCCTGTATAACTTGCTGGACGCGGTAGGCGGTGAACGTCCGTTGTGATTATGTTGACCATATTTAGTGGCTGCTGAAGGAACCGCCATTGATTACCGTCATGCTGTTGTCGTTGTAAGGTTGCTTCAAGGGCATGCAGTTCTGGGAAGTCATGCACAATGATGGCGAGTGGGTGGCTTCGGTTGCTGTCTGCGCGCAGCGCGTTTAGTCTAAGGGATGTCGGGGAAGATACGAATTTGGTAAATGCCGAGAGACGTATTGTTTCGGAGTAGGTATGCTGACAACAGGACATCATCCATAGCTGGGCCTAGATGCAAGTCAACACGCAAAAGTCTTGGCTTACCGGCGCTCGGAGATGAAGAGTGGCGAGTCAGCCTTGTGGGACTAATAGGTTTTGTTTTAGGGAGGTTTAATGCGGTACAGCTTGAGCTCTACATAGTGGAATCATGAGAATGTCGATTTTGAAGTTGCGGGTAGTTGGACTCGGGCACATTTGTACATAAGAAAGAGTTAGGAGTAGGGCTACTCGTTATTCGCTTAGACGAACGCTGCTGTGGAGCGGTAGCAAGCTTACTTGGTGGGAGGGCCTCCGTCGGAATCGTTGTTCGTCGGCGAGTGTTGGGGTTGACCAGCAGTTGGTAACGGTGAGACGATACGTGGTTCAGGACGGTTGGGAGGTTGCTGTCGTCGTTTGGCTAGACCGTCGAGTTTCCGCAGTAGACCCTGTAGCTGTTCTTCCGGCACTGTTGCTAGGCGGCATGACGAATCGTAGTGACCGGGGCGACTGCGTCCGCGACTGCTTGTTACCCGGTGTGGAGGGCGGGTTAGTGGGAGACGAGATTACAAAACCAAGCTAAGGGCAAGTCGTGGAGGATAGGTCGCTAGGAATACGCCGTACGTAATTCACGATCCTGGGAACGCAAACCAGGCAAATATACCACAGGACCGTCTGTGGATGCGAGTGACAGAATTCGATATCAGTTGCATGGAGCGAATTGTCGCAGGGAGCGTGAACA